TAAAAGCTCCGCTAATTAATGCACTGCGATACGGACTGAATGAATGAGGAAATGAAACAGTGAGAGGGAGGAGACAGAGAAAAACTCAGGGTTTGTTGAAGAAAATCTGCTCCCGACCAGGTTAGGTTCACAGACTCAGTTGCCATAGTAACTGACACCGGGCTTCAGTTACCTCTCTTTCTGGAGCTGAAAACCCAGAGTTTCATTTAGGGTTAAAATCGGCTACTCAGAGTTTGTCTGCAATAGCTACCCCGCTGATCTAGTCAGTCTGCTAGAGTAGACCTGAAAACTAGATGGTTCTTCTTACTCCACCATAGCAGGTAGTGTGAATCTCTAAACTGTCTGCACAATTATTATTATTATCATTATTATTATTATTATTATTATTATTATCAAGTGTCTCCATGTGACCACAACTGAGGGGAAAGTCCAGTGTCAGCTTAACTCTGATAGTAGCCTATAGTAAATGCCTTTCCATAGATGTACATCTGTTTTTTCCCATCTGGCTGTCAACATAGGCCTATTCATTCATATTTGTATTTTTGATGACAACTTTGATGCAGTGCTGACACCTGCTGGTCATTTTTAATAACTACTTTTGGAGTGCTTGCTGTCATGTTGATAGTTTTACCGAGAACAGACCTCACTGTTCACGGTACATCCTGAAGAAAACTTAATATAGAGCTTTCATTTTCATGGTCTATCAGCTGCATATTAACAGGCAATACAATAAAACGCTGTTGCATTACTTCATTGCCTGTCTGTGCGTCTGCAGCCTCCGGGTCTGCAGAGACATCCTGCTGGCGTAAAGGCCAAGAGGTAACTTTATTTTGAAGGGCACAGCCCAAATGTAAGTGACAGAGCACGTTAGCCAATCAGAAGTAAGGGAGCGCTGAGAGCCCGCCCACCAATGAAACGAAATATGGAGTGGTAAATTTGTTTTTTGCAGTAGGATCAGAAAACAAGAAATTGAGCTGAATTTCGTTTTTTCATTTTTTTTTTGCCAAAAACGAGAAAACTACTTGTTTCTGGTTTCTGATTGTGTCAGTTATTCCCAGAAAACAAACGGTTAAAAGGTACCTTGGTCGCCAGAATTCAGACAAAAGATGACTGCAATCAGGTTAGAAAAGGTTTTCCGAGCAGTGGGATTGTGGAAGTTTATATTACCCACAAGCAGGCCCAGGTGCCCCATGAAATCCTCCGGGACCATATTTACCTGCAGCCTGATTGTGGCCAGCAGAAGTCATCAGGCAGAGGATGCAGAATAGAAGAATCATCCTTATCTTCAGAATGAAGAACATAATAATTATTGAAACCACTTTTTTTTTTATTTTTACAAAAATTAGATCAGCAGCGTAGATGAGATTTTGTCTTAAATTTCCTACAGAGTGGCATTAAAAAAGTCATAAAGTTTTAAATCTAACTTGTCTTGAGCTGCAGGAACCCTGGGCTAAAAGATGTAAATCTTTTAACCCAAGTTTTGCTGTCACTTGTCCACTACCATTTTTGCTCAAACCAACATTCTAAGAATTTCAAAAATGACCCAGGACCCAGGGAAATATTAATTATGATATAACATTATTTAGCTGCCCTTTGGCCTTCTTACTGTAGATACAGAGATGTGTTCATATCTAACCTGTTTATAGCTTTTAATAAGACTTAACTGAACAAGCTTTCATTGTTGAGACCACATGTTGTGGTTTCTAACTAGTACAGAGAAATGACTTTCAGGCTGTGAATTGTCATGAATTTAATAGCAAAGGAACTCACTGTGTGAACGAGGAGTGATGTGCAGGATGAGCTACTTCTTCACTACTTTTAAAGAAAAGTGATAAAGAAAGTTGTGAATAGTGTATGTAGAAATTGAGTCCAGAGTTTATAACGGATGTAGAGAGAGAGAGAGAGAGAGAGAGAGAGAGATGATAATCAGGTCAGGGTGTCATGTCTCTCAACCGCCTCCAAGTGCACTCTCGTATCTTCTTCCTCTCCATGCAGTCCTCATACTCATTTTTTTTGTTTTTATCCTGTTGCAGCAGAGTGTTGCCAGTGGAAACTCTTCAGTGTAGAGGGCTGTGATGTTTATTACAACTTCAGCAATATCTGCTGCCTCATGTTTGAAACACAGATCTGGAGTTAGCACAGCAGTAGTCTGACTCACTGGATGTGGACTATGACTATGGCCTTTACCTGCCATTTGCAGGATATTTAGGCTGACTTTCTCCCTTCCTTCTGCTATCTGTTACTGTTTTGACAAATGTTCTTAGCTACAGGAAACAACAATTACAACCTCTGAACTAACAATGTAGACACTGAAAATGGCCAGTTGTGACGTTGATTTGGAACATGCTATAAGGCACGTCTGCTTTGTTATCAAATTATGTGTCTTTCTTTATCAGTAGAAGTTGAATGTCACAGTCCACATTCATCTGATATGTTTTTTTTTTCTGTTGCATTTTCTTTTTAATGATAGTGCTCACCTCCTCACGTGCAAATGTTCCACCAAAACACGTTCCCCTCAGGCAGTGTTTTGCAGAGGCACCATTGTGGACTTTGTGCCTCACTAGACAATTGTGGTTGGTTTACAGAAATCTAAACAAGCCAGAGCATTTATCCCCTAAAGCCAAATGATAATGTGTGCTGTGGACATGGGGCTGACTGCACAAGGCTAGAACATTTGTGTGGCTCAGGAAAAGTGTCCCAAATAACTGGCATATTTATTGTGAGATCACAGAATTTCATAAAAATCATCAGTTATACCTTGAATAATTAAGATGCATTGAAAAATAAAGTAACACAGAGACATAGACATCAATTTTACAAATGCAGCAGACATAATGTTCTCTGAAGACACGTGATTCATGGAGCTGGGTCAGTAAAACAGCTCTCACTCTCACACCTAACAGCTTGAAGCATACACATAATGAAACCATTTAAGAAATTCCCTCATAAACCACTGCCTGAAAAAATGAGCTCAAGACAATTTTCCAACCACCTTTTTGAATCAGAACAATCGCAAACTTTCACCACCCTGCTACTGAGTCAGTGGGCCCTATTTAAGTGATTTAGAGTGCATGTTCTGAAGTGCAGGGTGCAAGTGCATTTAGGGCAAGTCCAACTCCACTTTTCTAGTGAAATGGCACAAATCTGGGTGCAAAGTAAACATGCTTTTAGACCTCAAGTTGTCTTGCTTTGGTCTGAATCGGGGACTCATTTTGTTACAAAGTTGTATAATTTCCTAGAGTTGGTTTGTGTTCTCACGGCCGCATTTACAAGTGGACCAGGAGGAGGTGCACATTAATAATCCTCCAGGACTGTAACATGCTCATGTTTAACCCAAACAATGTGTCATGTGACTGCAGTTGGTTCAGATCCAGGTCGGAATACCCGGAGAAAACCCACACTGACACGGGGAGAACATGCCAACTCTGCACAGATGGGCTTCCCCACCCTGGGTTCAAACAGGTTCCTGGTTTGAACGCAGGGTGGTTCAAACCAGGAAGGCTCTTGCTGTGAGGCGACAATGCTAACAACTGCACCACCACAAATTTCAGTTTCAGTCATCATACAGTGAATTTTACAGATAGAGTGTGCATTGTTCTTTGGAGTGCTATAGGCTCAATACACTGCTCTTATTCATACAGATTGAGAAACACTATTTTGCTTTAGCATTGTTTATAACACTGGGTCAAACTACATCTTTTCAATGTGAGATCAGAAAATAAGACACCAGGTCCCCGTTTCCACTTCTGGTGGAGACGTTCTTTAGCTTGAAATCACCATCAGTTACAAATTAACACAGTGACCGGTTATGAAGCAGACACCTTTACTGATAAAACTGCTCTGGTTTTATAAGAGTTGCTGAAACACAGGCCTTGTAGACAGGAAAATCAGAATGTAATAACATCAGGCATAACTTATTACAAATTGTAATCATTTAAGGAGACACGGATGAGTTCCCTTTAAGACTTTTGTAACACTAATAAAAATGTGCATCGTTTTAGTTTGAGAATACATGTAAAAAGGTATAAAAAAGGTAAAAAAAAAATGTGTTCAATAAGCAAAGAAACGTAAGCATCAACAAGCCACAGCAGCAGGAAACTTGAACAATATTTGGAATTTAGCCTCAGTAACCATAATTGTACATGCTGTGAATTCTGGATGCTGCAACTGCCTGTACAATGAAGAGGATGATTATAATGAGGACCATGATGCAACCCAGGACTGTGGCCCAGATGTTGAGACAGCGGGCAGTGGAGCCATAGTGTTGGGCACCCTCCAGATCTCCAACCACCTTCCGGTCTCTGGCCTGGAAGGACCAAAGCACATTGATTTTAAAAGTGGATTCATAGATATGCTCGACCTCAAGGGAACTTAAACTGCTACCACTGAGCATCAGGACAATCTCATAAACTCCTGCAAAAGCTTTTCATTCTTGTTTGCTGTATCTTTATGCTACAAATGACTTTCTTTCAATCATTTCCATCCATTCTCTATTTTCCTCAATGTAGTTATTGAATAATTGTTGTATTCCTGGTTCTGAAGTGGACATAGATGAAAATAAAGTTTGTGAAGCATTTAAGTCTCTGTTGTCTTTGTTTTATCTTATTTATTCATTATTTTTTCCCTTCTTTGTATTTTGATTTTTCAATAGTTTAATTGTAATTTTTAAGCCTTATAATATCTAAAATCTGAGAGATGAATATTCCTCGTCCCCCAACTGCCTGTCCTCTGAATGATTCTTGTCATGGTCTAAGTGAGGTCTGTGTCTTAGTCAGAAAAACTCAGTAAAGCCTTCTTTTTATCCCTCTAACCCTGTCTCTTCTTTTTAAAATCTGCTTTTTGAGATGCAAGATTTGGCTTAAACTCTTTTTTCTTCCAATATTCTTTAATAGGCAGTGAGAGAAAATTCCTCATGAATGAAACTCACCTTGATGGAGAAGATGAGAGCCGCCAGTCCAAGGCAGCAGTAGTTTGAGTAGACAAAGCTGCAGAGGGACCAGATGATGTGGTCCTTGGGGGGTTCAGTGGTGACGTTCACAGTGGTGTACTGAACCACTGACTGTCCTCCAGGCTGTCCAGGACGCCCATCATACCCCCCCTGCAATGGAACAGCCTCAGGTTTGTAACCTGCTGGATTCATCGCTGTCTGCTCAACTGTAGTTTGAAGTGAGGGGCTGCAGGAAGGTGTGCAGGATCTCATCTGTCTCTGTAAGTGTGGGGTTTTTTTTTAAAGCCTTTGGGGGTTAACACATGCAAGCTTGTTTTTTTCTCCTCCGGAAGCCAGTGAGGTAAATGCAATGCACTTGTGTTGGCTGTTGCTTCAGTAAAGAACATACAGTGCATGACCTTTTGCTTTCTTAAAGTTCTGAAGAGTTTACAGGTATAATGTAAAATGCAGTAATTTCTGTTCATCAACAACAGTCCTTTAAATGTTCCTCAACTATTGTGTAAAAAAACCCAATCACCTGCTAAAGAAGAGCAACCAGACATGAAGTCACCACTGGCCTGTTTTAAAAGGAAATGTAGAAATTAGGTTGTGTTTTTCTCAAGCGGTGATAGTGTACTGTAGGGTGTCCGAGCTCCTCACCCTATCCCTAAGGCTGAGCCCAGCCACCCTGCGGAGGAAAACTCAGTTCGGCCGCTTGTACTCGCGATCTCGTTCTTTCGGTCACTAACCAGAGCTC